CCTGAGCCCCCTAGCGATGCGCGGGGCGGGCGGGCAGGGGAAGACCCCCAGGGCTGCGTGCGCTGCCTTCGCGGGATCCGGCAGTCAGTGCGCCCCGACATTTCAGTGTCCGCCAGACCTAAGACGTCCTGGGAGGGAAGGGGCGATCCTCTGGGCACCGACTGTCCCCTCCAGCCTTCTCCTTCCCTCTGTTGCCCCAGTGGAGACTGGATGTGTGAAGGTTAAGCCTCATCAAAACCCCCAAATAGTCATTACTTTTGGGAAAGAAAAACTTTAAAAATGAGGGAGAAAGGCAGAGCACCCCCCTACCCCCGCCCCCCGCCCCAGGAAAGAAGCAAAAGGAAATACCTGATGGAGGTCAGAAGTCCAACTTTTGGTCTTGGATTTTTTTTTTTTTTTTTTTCCTTAACCGCTTTTCTGTTTAAGTGAACTAACCATAACCCAGAGTAGAAAACGCTCCAAAGCTGCCGAATTCAAACTCAGCAAGCCTTCCTGTTGGTTGGTCCTGTATTTTACTTAGATGTGATTACTTCCTTCCCTTGCCCACCTACTGCAACTTTAAATTCCAGCCTTTCCAAGACAGGGCAATTCAAAAGTCCTGGGTTTAACTCACCTCACTTGACTTGACATTAACTCTTTTTTTTTTTTTTTTTTTTTGAGACGGAGTCTCGCTCTGTCGCCCAGGCTGGAGTGCAGTGGCCGGATCTCAGCTTACTGCAAGCTCCGCCTCCCGGGTTTACGCCATTCTCCTGCCTCAGCCTCCCGAGCAGCTGGGACTACAGGCGCCCGCCACCTCGCCCGGGTAGTTTTTTTTTTTTTTTGTATTTTTTAGTAGAGACGGGGTTTCACCGGGTTAGCCAGGATGGTCTCGATCTCCTGACCTCGTGATCCGCCCGCCTCGGCCTCCCAAAGTGCTGGGATTACAGGCTTGAGCCACCACGCCCGGCCGACATTAACTCTTATCCTGATTGATTGGATTCCAGAATAACTGTGAAAATGGAATTTCGGCTAAACTCTCCCAACCACAGACTTGAAATTTTACTATTTTATCACTTCAGGAGTAGACATTAAAAAACTTATGCCTAAGAAAATGCTATAAAAATGGGACTCAAATTCACATCCATTTATTTTTATTATTAAGAGAGAACAGGAGGCAGGGCGCGGTGGCTCACACCTGTAATCCTAGCACTTTGGGAGGCCGAGGCAGGCGGATCACGAGGTCAGGAGATTGAGACCATCCTGGCTAACACGGTGAAACCCCGTCTCTACTAAAAATACAAAAAATTAGCCGGGCGCGGTGGCGGGCGCCTGTAGTCCCAGCTACTTGGGAGGCTGAGACAAGAGAATAGTGTGAACCCGGGAGGTGGAGGTTGCACTGAGCCCAGACCGCACCACTGCACTCCAGCCTGGGCAACAGAGCGAGACCCCATCTCAAAAAAAAAAAAAAAAAAAAAAAAAAAAAAAAAAAAAAAAGAACAAGAAAGTATTTATAATCTGGCCGGACGTGGTAGCTCACGCCTGTAATCCCAACACTTTGAGAGACTGAGGTGAGCAGATCACTTGAGGTCAGGAGTTTGAGACCAGCCTGGCCAACATAGTGAAACCGTCTTTACTAAAAATACAAAAATTAGCCTGCGTGCTCACTTGAACCCAGGAGGTGGAATTTACAGCGAGCCAAGATCGCGCCATTGCATTCCAGCCTGGGCAACAGAGCAGGACTCTGTCTCAAAGAGAGAGAGAGAGAGAGAGAGAGAGAGAGAGAGAGAGAAAAGAAAAAGAGGCTGTAATCCCAGCACTTTGGGAGGCTGATGCAAGTGGATCACTTCAGGTCAGGAGTTCGAGACCAGCCTGGCCAATATGATGAAACCCTGTCGCTACTACAAACACAAAAATTAACCGGGCATGGTGAAGGGCACCTGTAGTCCTAGCTGCTCGGGAGCCTGAGGCAGGAGAGTCACTTGAACCCGGTAGGCAGAGGTTGCAGTGAGCCGAGATCACACCACTGTACTCCAGCCCCGGCAACCAAAGAGACTCCGTCTCAAAAAAAAAAAAAAAAACAAAAACAAAAACAAACCAAAGAAAAAGCGAAAAGAAAAGAAAAAAAAATTTAAAAAAGAAAATATTTATAATCCCCACCGCCTTTTTTTTTGAGACAGAGTCTGGCTCTGTTGCCCAGGCTGGAGTGCAGCCGTGCGATCTCCACTCACTGCAACCTCCGCTCACTGCAACCTCTGCCTCCCGGGTTCAAGCGATTCTTCTGCTTTAGACTCCTGAGCAGCTGGGATTATAGGTGCGGGCCACCACATCCGGCTAATTTTCAAATTTTTAGTAGCGACAGGGTTTCACCATATTCGCCAGGCTGGTTTTGAACTCCTGACTTCAGATAATCCACCTGCCTTGGCCTCCCTAAGTGCTGGGATTACAGGCATAAGCCACCGTGCCTGGCCTCTCCCCCCGCCTTTTTTTGATGGGCCATTTTAACCACCCAGGTGTAGGATGTGGGGCCAAACACAGATGTCATTTGGGTGCGCTAAGTCCACAGATGTGTCTCATTTGGAAGCTACTGATAACAAGTTTTTAAGAAAACAAATCTGATCTTGAAACTCTTTAAGCCCCAGAGAACAACAACATTTAGAGGGAAACAAGATTTTTCTTGCATTCACTCAGTTTAATCATTTAAAGGAAATCATGTTTTGCTCCTGCCTTAGTAGAAGCTAGTCATGTGACTCACATTTAAATACATCCACAGCTCCCTGCGTTCACCTCCCAGGGCAATCAATTTTTCTGGTCACTCTTGATTCCAACACTGTTTCCCAAAACTTGTCATTAGCTCCGCTTCAGTGGGAGGAATGCCAGAGCCTGCATTCTTTCCACTTTGAGAGAACACTTTAAAATCTGCTACATTTGTAGACCTGGCTTCCATCAAATAAGCTGAAAACCCAGATTGATTTTATTAGAAGCTTCCCGTAATGAGCAAACAACCTGAAAACTTTCCACATGACGAATGCCCCAAAGATCGTCTCTAGAATTAACCAAGAATCTTTGTCCGAAAGAGTTAGCCACGTCTCAGGAATATTGGATAATTGAAATGGGGTTTAATCCTTCTTAAGAAAACATCCGGGCCGGGCGCGGTGGCTCACGCCTGTAATCCCAGCACTTTGGGAGGCCGAGACGGGCGGATTAGGAGGTCAGGAGATCGAGACCATCCTGGCTAACACGATGAAACCCCGTCTCTACAAAAAATAAAAAAAAATAAAAAAAAAAAAAAATTAGCCGGGCATGGTGGCGGGCGCCTGTGGTCCCAGCTACACGGCTGGCTGAGGCAGGAGAATGGCGTGAACCCGGGAGGCGGAGCTTGTAGTGAGCTGAGATCAGGCCACTGCACTCCAGGCTGGGCAACACAGCGAGACTCCATCTCAAAAAAAAAAAAAAGAAAAGAAAAGAAAAGAAAAGATCCGGCAGCCACACCTGCAGCTGAAGGACTCTTTTATGCAGTGATAGTGCTCGTGGGTGCTGGTGATGGTGGGTGGAAGTTGTGAAGCCCAGTTTGGGAGCTCTCTGCTTAACTCTTGGAAAATAGAACTTCCTTTCCTTAAACAAATTAAACCCTGGAAGAGGACTACAGTTGATGATACTTTTCAGAAGGACTCGGGCACCTGAATGATGTTTTCCTTGGCTTCAGGAGTAGCCTGGCCTCTGTCTGCAAATGAAGCCAGTTCCTCCCACCATGACTCGTGGACCAGTCATTACAATGGCCTGCCAAACCAACCCACCTTTCAAAACCCCACTCCAGGGCCCCTGCTTCAGGACCCGCAGATCCACTCTCTCAGCTCAGATATGCTGCAGTTTCCCACTGTTCATGGCACTCCCGAGCCGTTATGTAAGAAAGACGTGTTGTGCAGGTGCTGGTTCTTATGAATATGCAGACAAATAGTATTTGCATTCGGGTGATAAATGAGACAGCATTTGAAACATAAGCAAGCCATGTTTCTATTTTTAATGCTTAATCGGTAACTTGAGAGAGCCACAGTGCCATTAACGAATGCTGCTATGTTTGGACAGCAGTAGCCCACATAATTGCTATTGTCTTTTTCCGAAGTGTCCAAGCTTTTGCATTTGGTTTCATGGTTTCAGCATCAAGAGGGGAAAACAAAATATAAGGGCGAGTCACCATTATTCATTAAGGACAATTAATGAGTTACAGAACTCCTTTCAATATTTAGTAAGAAATAAGATACGTGAGGTCCTCAGGGTTAGCAGGTCTTGGTTATGGCTAATTTGGCCCTTTCTATAACACTGTAAAACAATCTGAAGTAAAATGACAATGACTTGTGCCCCATCTAAACAAAAAGGTTTCCATCTTTTCCACTGGAATTTACGATGCATACTTTCCATGACTAGAGTAGTTCTCGTTGTTTAGAGACATCTCATGGCTTCTGACTCAAAACAGCAGCTCGGGTGCAGAGTTGCCTTCCCTTGGTACTTGAGACTTTGCTGGCATTAAGATAAAAGAAAAAGGGATAGAGGAGGAGTTATAGGAAGGAGGGAAAATCACAAAGGAGAGGTTTCAACGGATGTCTGAAAGATGAAAAGCTGACAGTAGAGAGCTGCCAGATGACACAGGCTGAGCAATTGCAGTCTATGTCATGACAACAGACGCTGGAGAGGAAACAGGGTCAATGAACTGACAGATGAGACTCCGGGACGCGGTCAGCGGGTATAAAAGGAGGTGGGAGTGAGAAGTGGGCATCGGATCTAAGGAGCGATTAAGATCTTTACATGCGACAAGGGCATCATCCCCCACTAACTCCTGCTTATATTTAAGACAAAAAAAAATGACCAGGTAGCTGATGTGGTTTCACTCTGCTGCCGTGTATATAAGACTCTTTTCCCATTGGCTTTTTACTCCGGCTAGGAATTTAGACCTGGGGGTGGGGGGTGGGGGGTTTGTGGGGTGGGCAGGCTTCGATGAGCTGAGCAGGCAGGAAGCTGGCCGCTCTGAACTGGAGCTACTCCAGGTTCAGGTGTGCATCCCTGGCCCACTGAGTAGGATGATGTTTGCGTGGAAGGACTGTCCTGTCTCTAGGGTCTGTGCACAACAGCAGCTGAGAAAGGTCCAGTGTCCACAGCCACTGGCCTCAGTGAACATAAGCTTCCTTCTCCTTGCAAATCTGTTACACAGAGTGAGCCATGAGCTGACTCCCCTGTCCATGAACCCACAGTTTTAAGTGTGAGATTTGGAGGCCACTCAAAACATACTAGGACCCTAGACTTTGTGGGAGTCATTTATCATTCTGAGGACAAGGTATGAGGGGAGAGGAGGGGCACTGCCGGGAAAGGGAATTGAGTCTGTGTAAATTTGGCCGTTAACATGCAATATTTATTACAGAGGTTAACCTTTAAATAGTGTTGGCTAAAAAGAGTGTGCAACAAACAAAATGTCCAACTTTAAGCTCAAGCCCCCCACTGTGGATATCAACTTCTCTAATGTGGAAGCTGCCTGTGGGGATGCTCACCTCTGCACACGTGCATCCCATGGTCCCAGACACCTGGGAAGATGCTTAAGTTCTTTCTTCTCATTAGAGATCTGAGAACCAACCAGTCAATTAATCAGCTCAAAGGAATAGAGTGCTGTAGCCAAGGCCCAGGTTAAATATTAAAAGCATTACTTAGCTCTTGAATTTGTAGCTGTTTAACTTGGTAAGTGGAGTTGAAGTCCCAGCCTGCTCATGGCGATTACTGATTAATGCCTGTGCACGTTTGTACAAGTCCCCCGGCTGCACGATCGCCTGTCCTGCAGAGTGCAACTTTCCTTCATCGAGCAGTCAACCTTCACCCAACGGGGACAGCGGACACTTCCTGAGAAGCCACCAGGCCCTGCCCCGACCCTTTACCGACTGTAGCTCGTTCAATGAGCCTCACACCAACCTTGTAAGGTAGATATTTTCTGCCTGTATTTTATGGATGGCAAAACTGAGGCTCCAAAGAGTGGGGAACTGACCTAAGGTCTTGAAGCCAGTGACAGCCAGAGCTGGGACTCGAGCCACTGTCTGTCCAGACCCCATGGTCCTTTCGTTATGCTATCTGTAACCAAATAAATGACAAACGTAGCAGAATAGACCAGCTGAGCTCTGAATATATAGAACTGTTACCATTACCCAGGGCCACCATGTAGGTGGGGTGACTGATATGGTTTGGATGTGTGTCCCTGCCCAAATCTCATGTTGAATTGAGAGGAGACCTGGTGGGAGATGATTGGATCATGGGGGTGGACATCCCGCTTGGTGTCCTCGTGATAGTGAGTGAGTTCTCATGAGATCTGGTTGTTTAAAAGTGTGTCCCCGCTCCCACTTCCTCCTGCTCCAGTCATGTAGGATGTGCTGGCTTCTGCTTCACCTTCTGCCATGATTGTGTTTCCTGAGGCCTCTGCAGCCATGCTTCCTGTATAGCCTGCAGGACCGTGAGCCAATGAAACCTCTTTTCTTTATAAATTACCCAGTCTCAGGTAGTGTTTTTTGTTTGTTTGTTTGTTTTGTTTTTTGTTTTTTTTGAGACGGAGTCTGGCTCTGTCAACCAGGCTGGGGAGCAGTGGTGCGATCTCGATCTCGGCGGCTCACTGCAAGCTCTGCCTCCCAGGTTCATGCCATTCTCCTGCCTCAGCCTCCTGAGTAGCTGGGACTACAGGCATCTGCCACAACGCCCGGCTAATTTTTTTGTATATTTAGCAGAGATGGGTTTTCACCATGTTAGCCGGGATGGTCTCGATCTCCTGAGCTCGTGATCCGCCCGCCTCGGCCCCCCAAAGTCAGGTAGTTCTTTATAGCAATGCAAGAACAGACTAATACAGTGACCACCTATTTCTATTTCCCCAGAACTCAGAATATTCCCAGGTCATGGAGGTCAACCAGATGAGTTGGTCACCCTACATGTAGGGTTGTACAGGTTGTTCACTAAACAAGAGTGCCTGACCAAGAAGCAAATAGAAGCTGCAGGTCAGCCATGTTCCATTCACCAACCTGTCCTCATAGAGCAGGGCTGTATCCCCCTAGAGGAAGGTACAATATGAGCTAGCTAAGGCCCCGCCAGTTCCTTTGACACTATTAACCCAGAAGTTTGAGCAGTTCAGTGATTTGGGTAATGACCTCATTTTAAACTAACCTCTGTCTTGCCAGGAAATTTCTCCCTCTGCCCTAAACACACACACACACGATCAACATACACATTCCTAATCACGTTCTTATAAACTGTTCAAGTCATGGGAAATGAGGCTGGAGAAATAGGGGAGATCCAAAATGCCATGTCTGATAGCCCTGAATGCTGTTCTCCAAACGTCTCCTCCTGGATACACAGCAGGAAGGCACTCCTCCCCCGTGTGATCAAGTGTCACTTCTGGCCTACAGCATTCGATCCTGGTGAAAGATCCCATCCAAATTCTCCTTCTCTTGGCTGCAGCAACTGGTACCGCTCAATGTGGTGGCAGCTCCATCAACCAGGGTCCTGGAAGGGGAGTCGTGGAGCAGATCCTCTGGCTGGCTGGTGATGGACGTGCAGCCTGGCTGACAGCCAAACCTTTGCTGTCAGAAGCCATTTCTGCTGGGGGCTGTTTATTGCTGTGGCACAGCCTAGCTGTCCTCACTGAGACTTCAAGGTAAGGAAACGTGCACTTAATTCTATGAGCCACACAGCGCCCCTGGAGAGTAATGGAGTCAGCTTTGCAGTTTTCTTCTTATTTTAAAGAACAGAGGCTCGTTCTGTTGCCCAGGCTGGAGTGCAGTGGCACGATCATAGCTCATTGCAGCTTTGAACTCCTGGGCTCAAGTGATCCTCCTGCCTTACCCTCCTGAATAGCTGGGACTACGGGTGCGTGGCATCACATCTGGCTTTTTTTTTTCTTTTTTTTGTAGGGATAGGGGTCTCACTATGTTGCCCAGGCTGATCTTGAACTCCTAGCCCCAAGTGATCCTCTTGCCTTGGCCTCCCAGAGTGCTGGGATTACAGTCATGAGACCGTGTTTCTTGTACCTGGTCTAGGTTTGCACTTGTCAAAGATCAACCTTCTGTATCTCTTCGGGGGTTTTAAACATGAATACGTTTGATAGTGGACTTAGTCTTAAATATATTCTTAGAAACTAAGATTTTAATAATTGTGATTATACTTTTTTGGTAAAAGTTACTTTAATGGTAGTCACATAAAATCTCTCTGGGTAATAAGCAAATTATCATTCCTACACATTTTTAAAATTTGACATTTCTAGTTGGTTATCTTGGGCTTTCTCTGTCACGGAACCGGCCCATGCTTCTTTGTAGCTTTGTGGCCTTCCCAACTGTAAAGCAAATCCCCACATCTCATCCCATTCCCTTCATGGCCCCTCAGAGCTCAAAGTCAGTGGGGACTAGGTAAAACGGTGTTAGTGAAAGCCAGATAGGCCATTGAAGGCACCAGGAATAAAGAGAGGGGATGGAGGGGATGTCTACCCAGGTGGGAGGTGAGTCATCCTTTCTGGATCTGAAACTACCATTCAGACACACACATCTGGCATCTTTTTTTTTTTTTTTTTTTTTTTGAGACGGAGTTTTGCTCTTGTCGCCCAGGCTGGAGTGCAATGGTGTGATCTTGGCTCACTGTAGCCTCTGCCTCCTGGGTTCAAGTGATTCTCTTGCCTCAGCCTCCCAAGTAGCTGGGACTGTAGGCATGCACCACCATGCCTGACTAATTTTGTATTTTTAGTAGAGACGGGGTTTTGCCATGTTGACCAGGCTGGTCTCGAACTCCTGACTTCAGGTGACCCGCCCTCCTCGGCCTCCCAAAGTGCTGGGATTACAGGTGTAAGCCAGTGCTCCCGGCCTCATCTGACATCTTTCCAGTCCTGAGAGGTGTGTTTTTTTCATTCATAATTTGGTCACGGCTGGGAGCTGTGGCTCGCACCTGTAATCCCAGCACTTCGGGAGGCTGAGACAGGCAGATCACTTAAGTCCAGGAGTTTGAGGCCAGCCTGGCCAACATGACGAAACCCATCTCTACTAAAATACAGAAGTTAGCTGGGTGTGGTGGCTCATGCCTATAATCCCAGTTACTCTGGAGGGTGAGGCAGGAGAATTGCTTGAACCCAGGAGGCAGAGGTTGCAGTGAGCCAAGATTGCACCACTGCACTCCAGCCTGGGCGACAGAGTGAGACTCTATCTCAAAACAAAAATAATAATAATAATTTGGTCCATGTGCCATATGGACCTTACAACTTTGGTGGACATCTCTTCCTTTTATATAAGCATGCTGTGTGTTATGGACTGAAGGTTTGTGTTCCTCCAAAATTCACAGGTTGAAATCCTAAACCCCAGTGTGTTGGCATTAGGAGGTGGGGTCCTTGGGAAGTAATTAGGTCATGAGGTGGAGCCCTCGTGACTGGGATTAGTGTCCATATAAGAGACCTGAGAGCTTGCCCCTTTCTTCTCTCTGCGTCATGGGAGGACACAGCAAGAAGGCTGTCTGCAAACCAGGAAGACAGCCCTCGCAGGACACTGGATCTGTTGGTGCCTTGATCTTAGACTTCCCAGCTTCCAGAACTGTGAGAAAGAAATGTTTATTGTTTAAGCCATCCAATCTGTGGTATTCTGTTAGAACATCCTGAGCCAAGATGGTGCGTTTAAGAGAATGGGAATACTTAGACCTGAAAATGGAGTGTTGCATTCAGGGGTCAGCAATCTGTAGCCAGCAAGCCAAATTTGATTTCCAACTGTTGCTGTAAATAAAGTTTTATTGCAACACAGCTACACACTCATTCGTTTGCATGTTTCTCTGGCTGATTTTGCATCACTATGGCTGAGAAATAGTCACCATCTGGTCCTTACAGAAAAAGGTTGCCAATCCCTGGTTTAGTTAATAGTTCTTTGCGCGTCACCTATTAATTCCAGGTAATATGGTTTATTCACAAAAGCAAAGGACGTTAATATTAACCACCTAAGATCTTTAGTTACTTATTTCTGCCTTCATAGCTAGCTCACTGTTCTCACCTGGGGCCTCAGGGAAGATTGCTGAGTTATGAAACCCGAAGTAAAAAGAGGAAATAAATTAGCCTCCCTCAAGCTTAAATTCCTCCTTTCAGAAGAACGAGAAACTAGATCTGAAAATCATTTTTCCTTTTCTGCTTCTTCTAAATTTCTTTATTCCAACAGATAAATGTGTTTTTGTTTTTTGTTTTTGTTTTCCAGCTGTGACTCCAGACAGGATCCAGAGAGGGGTTCATAGAGTCTTCTCTGGGTTTTATGGAGACTTACTTTGCCCTTCTGTGTTAGCCTCTTAAGGCACTGTGTTAACCCTAGGCACAGGAAGGCAGGAGAATCGCTCGAACCTGGGAGGTGGAGGTTGCAGTGATCCGAGATCGCGTCATGGCACTACAGCCCGGGTGACAAAGTCTCCGTCTCAAAAAAAAAAAGGCACAGGAAAGGGGGCAGATAAAATGTTAAAAGCATTTCCCCTCCCTTGTTCTTTTTCTTCTTCAGACTCTAATAAAAGGATAAAATATTTTAGATTTCCAGTTTTGCAGCATCGGCACTAGAAATCAATTAAAAGCTATTTTTAGTCCACTCAAGAATACTTATCCAAAAAAAAAAAAAAAAGAATAGCTATCCAAATGTTTTGACTACTTAAACTGAAAGCAAACTTACACCAAAATGAAATGATCAGAAAAGAAGCTCAATCTGTTTGCACAAGTGTACACCCTACATGTTCCATTTGATTCAACTCTACAAATGTTTATAGAGCACCTACCACGTGATACATTTGGGGATATAGGCATGAATAATCCATAATCCCTACCCTCAAGATGCTCAGGGGCCAGTGGGAGAGACAGATATGTTAAATAGTTAAAGTAAGTGGAGAAACATGTAATAACAGGTACAAAATACAAAGGAAGGCCTGGGCATAGTGGCTCACGCCTGGAATCCCAGCACTTTGGGAGGCCAAGGCAGGTGGATTGCTTGAGCCCAGGAGTTCAAGACCAGCTTAGGCAACTTAGTAAGACCTTATCTTTAAAAAAAAAAAAAAAAAAATTAGCCAGACCTGGTGGTGCATGTGTGTAGTCCCAGCTACTCAGTAGGCTGAGGTGGGAGGATCCCTTGAGCCCAGAGCGTGGAGGCTGCAGTGAACCGTGATCACACCACTGCACTCCAGCCTGGGCAACAGCATGAGACCCTGTCTCAAAAAAAGAAAGAAGTAGGAGTGTCTCCAAGCAGAGAAAAATGAGAAGGGAAGGTACTGAGGTACTAAGGACACAGGACCTTCAAGGAGGTCACTGTGCCAGGCAAGGGCAGAACAGCAAGCGATGGTGCTACTTCCCATGAGGACTAAGTTCACTGCTCCAGTGAGGAAAAGAGCAATCTGACTTTTTCTTTCCTTTTTTTTTGAAATGGAGTTTTGCTCTTGTCACCCAGGCTGGAGTGCAATGGTACAATCTCGGCTCATCGCAACCTCTGCCTCCCAGGTTCAAGCAATTCTCCTGCCTCAGCCTCCCGAGTAGCTGGGATTATAGGCATGCGCCACCACGCCCAGCTAATTTTGTAATTTTAGTAGAGACAGGGTTCCACTATGTTGGTCAGCCTGGTCTCGAGCTCCTGACCTCAGGTAATCCACCCGCCTTGGCCTCCCAAAGTGCTGGGATGCTGGGATTACAGACGTGAGCCACCACACCTGGCCTTTTTTTTTTTTTTTTTTTGAGACAGTCTTGCTGTGTCGTCCAGGCTGAAGTAAAATGTCAACCTCTACCTCCCGAGTTCAAGTCATTCTCCCTACTCAGCCTCTGAGTAGCTGGGATTACAGGCACCTGCCATCATGCCTGGATAATTTTTGTATTTTTATAGAGACGAGGTTTCACCATGTTGGTCAGGCTGGTCTTGAACTCCTGACCTCAGATGATCCACCTGCCTTGGCCTCCCAAAGTGCTGGGATTACAGGCGTGAGGCTGAGCAATATGATTTCTTTTCTTTTTTTTTTTTTTTTTGAGACGGAGTCTCGCTCTGTCTCCCGGGCTAGAGTGCAGTGGCCAGATCTCAGCTCACTGCAAGCTCTGCCTCCCGGGTTTACGCCATTCTCCTGCCTCAGCCTCCCGAGTAGCTGGGATTACAGGCGCCCGCCACCTCACCCAGCTAGTTTTTTGTATTTTTTAGTAGAGACGGGTTTTCACCGTGTTAGCCAGGATAGTCTCAAACTCCTAACCGCGTGATCCACCCGTCTCAGCCTCCCAAAGTGCTGGGATTACAGGCTTGAGCCACTGCGCCTGGCGAGCAATCTGATTTCTAAAAAGTATCCTGCATTTTGAAGAAAGTGAAATCCAAAAGTGAAGAGAGGCTCCTCCTGCCCCCACAATGGCACTGGGCACGTGGCCTGTGTGGCACCACATGGGTGCTGGATGAGCACACAGCAAACACACAGAGTTTTGCAGTCTGCAGTGGAAGGAACCCTGGATAATACTCACTCTGGGAACAGAGCCCTGAGGAAGGTAGTGGCTTCTCCAAAGCCACCCAGCACGTGCTCCAGAGCAATCCTTTGTTGAGGGCTGTGGTGTGCTGGGCACCCTATGAGGCTCTGAAGTTCCCTCAGCAGCATTATGTGGCAGGCTCTGTGAACGTTCACTTGATGGACAGGGCGTGGAGTCTTGGGGAGCCCAAGATACTCGCCCACAGTCACACAGCTAATCCATGGGGGAGGCTCGGGGTCTCCCTCCAGGGACTGTGCTCTCCTGACACCTTCCTTAACCTGAGGCCAGGATCCTGGCTCCCAGCTGTGCCCTCCATCACTAGCAAGCCACTGACACTAATAGACCAGCAGACAGTTGCACAAATGGCTTCAGTGGCATCTGTAAAGCATGTGTCCCTGTCCTTGAGGGAACTCTCTCCCAGACTGGAGCCAGGTCAGCATCTTCCACTCTTAAAATGATCATGGTCCATCTTCCAGTTCATATAACCTGGCGCCCACGTGCCCGCTTCTAGTGGCCAAATGCATGAGGGGATTATTTGGATTTGTGTGGCATCTGAACCATCATCACATTAGGCTCTCCACTGCATCTCCAAGTCCAAATGAGATCTGAACACCAGCTGTCCTTAGAGCAAGCTCAGGTTGCCATGGTAACTGGGCCATCCTGCTCTTCTGGACTCCAGCAGTCTAAGTAACACCACTCGGGTCTTAGCTACAAAGCTCAGCTAGCAGCAGGCCCCTCCCTCACCTCTAGCTGCATGTTTCAGAACACTGGGTGGGGAGAGGAGAGCTTAAGTAAGGTACTTCCCTTGATTTGATCTTCCTCTGATTAGCCTGTCAGCTAGCTCAAATGCACTGACTGTGCACCAGCGGCATGTGAGGCCCCATGCTGAGTGTGGGGATGGGGGTGCCTTTAGTATATGGAGACGGAATCTAACGTCTAGGGAACATCTCATCTATAATTCTGCTAGCACTTGTGGCCCTGCTAGTCTCAGGCATTGTGCTAAGCACTGTGGAGAGATGAGCTTGATATAGACTGACCCAGCCCTCAAAAAGCATGTACGCTGGGTGGGGAGATAAAAGGGTGAACAAGTAACTGCAGTCCAGCGGGATAAATTGGATAGAGCTCGCACACAAAGTCATGGGGGCAAGTATCTCTGCCTGGGGGCATCAGGGCAGACTTCCCAGTAGAGGCAGCTTTTGAACTGCTTCTTAAAAGATAAACAGAGGTTGCTGGGTGTGCTGGCTCAAGGTGGGTGGATCATTTGAGGTCAGGAGTTTGAGACCAGCCTGGCCAACATGGTGAAACCCCATCTCTACTAAAAATACAAAAATTAGCTGGGTGTGGTGGTACACGCCTATAATCCCAGCTATGCAGGAAGCTGAGACAGGAGTATGGCTTGAATTTGGAAAGTGGAGGTTGAAGTGAGCTGAGATCATGCCACCGCACTCCTGCCTGGGCAACAGAGTGAGACTCTGTCTCAAAGAAAAAAAAAAAAAAAACAGAAAAAAAGATAATTAGGGGTTCACCAGGCAGAGACAATGGAGAAGGGTGGTTTAGTCATGGAGCCGAGAGAGATCACCAGCAGCCCAGTAAGCCAGGAGGGATGGGAGGGGAGGTGGGAGGGTCCAGATTAGAAGAAGCTTGACTGCTGCCAAGCAGGTTGGTTTTCCTTCTGAGGGCTGCGGGGAGCTTATAGAGTGAGTTTCAGCTGCCCAACACATGAAATGGAATGGAGAGGACAAAACAAAAGGTCCAGAGCCCAGCTGGACGGCTGGGACAGTGGTCCCAGTGAGCTGGGGTGAGGTGGGGTCTCTCCTTCCAAATGGCAGCATTCTTCCACCTCGGTAGCAAACTGTGGAGCTGATACTTTGATCCTGAAGGGGCTTGCGGGGCCCAAAGCCTTTCCTTCACCATTCTGCTGTCAGCGGAGACAGGCGTCTCAAGAGGGTGGTTTCCTGCCTCGCTAATTTTTTCTATTTTTAGTAGAGACGGGGTTTCCCCATGTTAGCCAGGCTGGTCTTGAATGCCTGACCTCGGGTAATCCGCCTGCCTCAGCCTCCCAAAGTGCTGAGATTACAGGTGTGAGCCACCACGCCTGGCCAATCCGGATCCCTTTATTTTGTTCTATTTTCTTTCCATAGCCCTTTGCCTTCTAAGGTACAATTTAATATGCTTATTGATTATGTTTATTAATTATTATACTTATTCATTGCATTTACAGTGTCTGAACCTCAATAACTATTTGTTACCTTGCTGAATAGTGTGAGAGGAGATGTATGAGAGCCTCTCTCTCCTCTGGGACAAGCCTGGGCAAATGGTCCTCAGAACTGCTCCTCGTAGGTTTTTGTTCTTCTAGAACAGGGATATTTCTGGCCACATGCACACTGTCTGTCTGGAGCAGGAGTGGGGTCTGTTCCCAAGTTCCAGCTCTATGGAGCAGTGGCACTTGGGAAATAGAGGCACTCTGGATTCAGGGGGGGTCTCCTGTCTGTGTGCTGTGGATAAACTACTTCATCTCACCTCGCCTTCAAGTGCGATGAATAATAAATGCCCACTTCGCTATGTTGTTGTGAGAAGTGAATACAATTAAAAGTGATTATGCATGTTGAGCAATCAGTACAGGGTGTAGAAGATAACGAGGCTCAAACAGTGAGCTATAAATGCTTTTGCAAAAGACAGCTACTTAAAACTCGAAATACAGTTTCCCAGAAAGTCCGTGGAAAAAACCTGTTCCCTGGAGTTCATGAGAAAAGTTTGGTAACTGAATAGAGAATGTATCACCAGCTGAAGGCTGCTGTCAACTCAATGACCGTTTTTGAGGCCCTAGCCCTGGCCACCCTGTTCTGGTGATGGGTGGGGCTGCTTTAAGCACAGCCTTATTGGCCGGGCACGGTGGCTCACGCCTGTAATCCCAGCACTTTGGGAGGCCGAGACGGGCGGATCACAAGGTCAGGAGATCGAGACCATCCTG